AAAAAAAAAAAAAAAGAAAAGAAAAAGAAACCCAGACATATAATCAAAGGTGTGTCATTGTTGAATTGACAATTTGTTCTCTCTTCCTTGGTAAAGAATAAAATAATGCTAAGTTTTACATTTAATGGCATCTCATATTCAATAAATACAGTAGCTCTCCAACTTTATACCCCCCACAAAACAAAACAGAACAAAAAACATTTGCTGAGCCTCATTCCCTGAATGGAGATTTCTACTACTTCTTTCTGAGTGGTTCGGGAAAAGCCCCAGATGAGTTGTGACTGGGTCCTTTCCCTACGCTAGGCAGCCCTGCTTAAATTTCTGTATACAAATGAGATCCTCACGGTAGCCCCATGAGTGGGCAAAACATTTTCTTTTTCCTTCTTTCTTTTTTTTTTTTTTTTTTTTTTTTAATGATACTTTAAGTTCCAGGATACATGCGCAGAACGCGCAGGTTTGTTACATAGGTTTACGTGTGCTGTGGTGGTTTGCTGCACCTATTGACCCGTTCTCTTAAGTTCCCTTCCTGACATTTTCAACAAACTTTTACAAATGCCTATACGTGTGTTTATAATTGGTAATTACCGTATATGCTTACGGTTTTGTTTGTTTCTCTCTCCCACCAGCCTAAGGATTGAGATGGATCCTGCCTGCCTTGCTCCCCGCTCCTTCTCAGTTCCGGGCACTTACTATGTGTTCAATAAATATTTGTTGAGGAAGAGCAGTCCAATCATAGAAAACAGGTGGTGCGAAGGCCTGGTGGCCTGCGAGCTTAAGGTGCTTTGGGGAAGTAGCAAATAATTCCTCTTGGAGGAAGTGCCAGGAGAGTAAAACAGCAGGCAAGAGCCCAGGTCCTAAAAAGCCAAATGCTAAGTTACACAGACCTCACCCCGCGGGAAATGCAGCCTATGGAAACATTTAAGCAGGGGCCTGGGATGAGCAGAGTTTTAGAAAGATGATGCTGGCTGCGGCATCAATAACGGAGTGGAGGGGTAAGATGAGCCGGCCGCTCAGAGGCTAGCGTAGTGGTTCTGGTGAGAGGTCTGGTGGCAGGCAGCAGCTTGAGTGGAAAAGGCAAGACTTGCTGCCTGGTTGGATGGAGTGGTGATGGAGAAACATTTAGGGGCAGGAAGGCATGGAGAAACATTTGAGGCAGAGTGACTGGGGGATGGCGGTGGTAAGGTGGTCCACCCACCTAACAGGAAGTGAGAGACGTGCAGCTACAAAACTGTTTGATTTATTTCAATACATACATTTTTCAGACTTAACATCTTAGAAACCCAGGCATATAATAAAAAAAAAAA